CCAATCAGGAGGGCCTCGGTCTTGCTGACGTTGAGTTGGAGAAAGTTGGCCCTCGTCCAGGACTTGATATCGGACAGGCAGTCGGTCAGGACGCCAGTAGTCTTGGAGTTCAGGGTGGAGGCAGAGAGGTAGAGTTGGGTGTCATCTGCATACATGTGGAAATTTATCAAGGGGAAACATGTAAAGGATGAAAAGGAGGGGACCGAGGACAGAGCCCTGAGGAACACCGCACGAGATGGTGCAGGGGCTGGAGGAGAAGCCATTTGCCGTGACAAAGTGGAGGCAGTGTGAAAGGTAGGACCTGAACCAGTCAAGGACAGAACCTTGAAGGTTGAGATGGGAGGAGAGGTGGTGGAGGAGGATTGAGTTGTCCACAGTGTCAAAGGCAGCGGAGAGGTCGAGGAGGCAGAGGGAACCCTGGTTACACATGGTCAGGATATCGTTTGTGACCTTGACCAGAGCAGTTTCCGTGCTGTGGGCAGCACGGAAACCTGATTGGAGGGGTTCATGGAGGGAGTGAGAGGAGAGGAAAGAGCGAAGCTGGGAGACAACGGCCCTCTCAAGGACCTTGGATAGGAAGGGGAGATTTGAGATGGGCCAGAAGCTAGATAGCTGTGATAGGTCGAAGGAAGGTTTCTTCAAGGTGGGGGTGATAGTGGCTGTTTTGAGAGGGGAAGGAACAGTGCCAGACGACAGGGAGAGGTTAATGATGTCGGCGAGTAGTGGGGCAAGGAGGTGGAGCTGGGATTTAAGGAGGGGTAGGGATGGGGTTGAGGGAGCAGGTGGTGGACTTCATGGAGGTTACGTTGTTGAAGACACACCTCGCCTATACCCCTCTATTCCTTTCTCTCCCGTGTATGCATCAATTTTTTTCTTAAATGTTCCACATCTTTGTTTAATGCTTCTTTTGTATTTTATTGCCCATTGCTGTCACCCCCCCACCTCCCTTCCCCACCCCCCCCCCACCCGCCGCCCCCACATACACACATGCACTCACACAAACCACATAGACAGGAAGCCGTGAATGGTGTGTGGTCTGCAGACATTTCCAAGACTGTGGTCAAAACTACTCTGGGAATCAGCTGTCAAAGTGGGTGAGGCAATTTCTACTGGGCCTTGTGCCTAGCTCAAGATTAAAGGCCTTGGTTTGGTCCAGTGTCCTGGCCAACCCCCTCCCACTGATAAATGTAACAAAAATTCCCTCAACGGAAATGTCTGTCGTTGTGGGGGGGTGGGGGCGGTGGGGGAGGCGGGCGAGTGGCAAGTGACCTAAGACTCGGGTATGAACTGGGAGTAAAGACTTAAAACTCTTTGAGGTGCTGGCTGGCTGCGTACTCAAGGTATGGCAAGAATATCAGCCTTGCTGTTTGCACTTTGGGAAATCATTACTTTAGCACTGATAAGAATAGGTATGTTCAGACTAAGTAAAGTCCTATTGCTGGAAGCTCAATGTAACTGTAGAATGTGTATGATAATAATAATAATGTAGTCACTCAATCCATGACTGTTTGTGGGACACTGCTGTGTGCAATTGGCTCCTGCATTTCACCCAAAAAACACACAGTTACTACACTTTATAGCATATCCTGTGAAGCGCTTTGAGACGTCTCGATGACGTGATAAGGCGGCATATAAAACGGAAGGATTATTATTATCATTATTATTATCTAGCTTAGCTAGACAATTTAAACCGTCCCAACAAACTCCCCTCTGGATTGTATTCCTCCTCTGACACTGCACAATTCGAGAGCGATAGCACACAGTGGGGTCAATGCATTCTCAGTTTTCCCACAGTCTGACATTGAATCCTGAGAAATGGCTTTCCAATAGGGATGCACAATTCGAGAGTGGTAGCACACAGTGGGGTCAATACATTCTCAGTTTTCCCACAGTCCGACAATTGAATCCTGAGTTCAGATCTGTGGCTGTCTGATCCAGATGAACCTCTGGAACAATGCACTTTTTCCGTTATCTTGGGAGCCAGAATGTCAAACCTCAAAGAATGGTTATTTTTTCTCAAAAGTTCATAAATGTATTTTTTTAATCTGATCTCACGAGGAGACTCCTTCATAAAAAGCAAAGTGAAAAATGTGAGGAATGCTGCTGATTGATTCTGGGAGGCCAAGCATCACCCTCTGACCTCTTATTTTGTCATCCTCAAATCTGGATGTTTTTTTCTCTCTCTCGATTTCTCTCTCTCTCTCGCTCCAGAAAAAAAAAGAACTTTATTAAAAGAAGTCATTTTACGGAACTATTCTTTCTTAGGTGCCAATAGTATTGTTGACATAATTCAGTTTTGGCAGAGCCGAATGAAATAAAATCTCTCTTCCCAGCCAATGAAAAGGATGGGGTTTTCCATTAAAGCCACACGACCCTCGTGTACTATTACAGTAAAAGAGTCTGCTGTTTTGCACTTTCTGCTGCATTTCCATGTGGCTATACTTTGGCTCCATTGCCGGGTGTGAAACATGACCCGTGTTGAAACTATGGCACCCCTTCCCCCAGTCAAGCAAAATGTACAAGAAAAGATGCCTTCCTGTCAGGATCTGTGCTCTGTATTATTCAGGATTAGACTGGGCCTATTTTAAAGTTGCACCATTATTTGTAAATGTGTTAAAAGTTCACATAACTGTCTGGGTAAATGGGGGGTGGGGGGTGTAACTAATAATAATCCTTACATTTGATATAGCCCCCTTTCATGTCAGGAGTATGTCTCAAAGTGCTTCACAGCATTTACTGCATTTAATGACTGTGGCTTTTGCCTCGGCTCCTATTGAGATCTGCCTGGACAACGTGACATGGAGTTGAGATCAGGAGCTAGGAATCAACTCTGCACATTACCACTCTGTTGTGGGGGGCTTTGGAGCACGATTAGCACAAGCCACAGCACATACCACTACCATCTCTTGTTTTAGAAGTCAGACGAACAGGCAACAACTTGTGTTACACTTCAATACAGAGGTTGAAGGCACAGCACCATCATCACTGTGTCTTCTCTGAAGCAGCTTTATTGATAGGACAGGTCGGAGGCTCATGTGGGATCAAAATCTTATTGAATTACATTCCCCGCATTTGAGCCACCGTATCCGGAGATTGACTGATCTTCAGCCCCTCTGTGGTGGTCTAGTAATCCTGCTTTGGCATGAGTGGGAGGAAGGAAATTAAACTACACAATTTAGCAGTGACCTCAAACAATATCCCATCAGTCGAAGCAACCGACTTTTGTTAGCTTATCCTTGTAATTGATTTCCCTCCATTGAGCTGCTGATTTGTGCTGAAGTGCTGAGCACCCTAACCCAAGTGGCCACTCTTCAGGTAAAACTGAGGCACGTTATCAACCATGGCTGTGTGGGGGGTGGGGGGGGGTGAGAGGCCTTATCACAGCCAAACTGTCCGCTAAGTTCACTGGACAGTAATTGGAAAGGAGCAGGAACTTCAGATGTTTTTTCCATCCCTGGCCCAAAGGATCCTGAGCCCAGTTTTAGGGCCTCTAAAGTTGCCTGGGCTAAGATCAAGTAAACTCACCCTGTACGTTCTGCCTTTTGGTCCGTATGTCTCAGTTTTGAGTTAAGTTGTGCCTTTACTAACTGAACCATCCACTGACTTTCTATCTGCTAAAACCCCACTCTGTTCGCCACCCCCCCCCCCCCCCACACGCTCAGCTAACAAAGGCCTCTTGCACATTCCTAGCCCCACCATAAGTGGCAGAGTTTTCAGTCCCTACACCTCTCATCTCTGAACTTTCTGCTTCTATCTCTCTACCCTCGCTATCTATCTTCAAATCCTACCTTGAAACCTACCTCTTCAACTGTGCCTACAGTTACTTTCCCCACCCCCTTCTCCCTTGCTCAGAGTCTGACCCTGGCACTGCGAAGAACTCTGAGACATTATCCTACATGACGGCTCTGTGTAAATGCAAGTTGGTGTTGTAAAACAGGTGCGATAAGTGACCTACAAATAAACTGTGGTCCCATTTCATTCCGTTTCTTTTACAACTTGTGTATTTATTTCTTTGAGCATTGAAATTAAATAATGAAATGACAGAGTCATGAAGCTTAAAAAAGGCAAAGAAAATGTTAACTTCTGACTGCACAGAACTCCATTTCATAAAGAAAATGTATGCAACACATCCATCTCAGTCAGTTAAGGACTGGACTAAGCGCCTAAGGGCCCTGGGTTTTAATTCTCATGAGTCCACTCAGCCTTCACCCTTCAAGGTTGATTGAAATAAGCACCAGAAAATATTCTCCAGCAGGGCTGAAGTAAGCAGAGTATCTTTGGGCTAAGCCAAGCAAGTCCACAGAAGTTGAACAGCCAATGAAATCTGGATGGTAAGATATCCTCACACTGTGGGAGTTAAAGTATTAGGTAGAGCAACTGCAGATGGACATGTAACTATGACATTACTGCACTGTGCAACTGCCATAACACTATATAGAATGACATCTAATACAGCAACTCTACAAACATAATATGAATAACAGATCTTAGCATTTGATATAGCTTCTTTTACATCAGGAGAACATTTCAAAACACCTCACAGAATTCACTAAAAGGTGTAGTGACTTTGTTTTTGTAGGCAAACATGGCAGCCAATTGCGGACAGAATTGCTTCCCTCTTATGCTACAGTTAACTATGTAGAGAAACCATTTAAAATTCTCTTTTCCTTATAGAAACAATATCAAACAGGACTAATTTCTTTATAATGGCAATGGTATATATAGCATATATTAATAGTTCGGTCTACAATACAGAACCAATATTAAACACCATAACTTAGCCTCAGCACACGTGCTATTTGGTTCCTCCAATAAAAATGAAACTCCTCCCTCATAATATCACTTGCACAGCGAGTAGAAAGATAGAAATGAATGAGAATGAGTTTACCTAGACATTTCACGTCATTTATTGGCACTTGAAAAGGAAGAGATGTCTTGAATCAAAAACAATCAAGATGGTGCGTTAAATGTAATAAGAACTATTAAAAAAGATTCATTACCTGATAAAGTTCTATCCGTTGCTCTTCTACTTTTGCCTTGGTATTCTGTACGCGAAACACTCTGAACTCCGCATTCACCAGGTTGGAAACATTTTTCTCCATTGAACTGACATCGAAATGCACTTGCGTGTAGTATGGGTTGTATTTTTGGGATTGAATGACATCTAGATTGAAATGTAGGAGCAATGGTGAATCAGTGCATCAACAAAGGGCTTCAAGCTCACTTGTAAAAACTGAAGTTAGCATGCAAAAAATTAGTTGCACGTTAGGGCTGACAAGAAGTCCCAGATTTCCCTGAATATAGATAATGTGATACATGACTCAACCCCTTCCCTCCCCAGTTCAGACCTTATCGGCTTAACTGTAAATCATTAAAATGTGAAATTGTCTCCAAGGAATGAATGGAACCCACTTCATAGATCTACAGTCAATGGGTGTGCGTTCATTAAGGAGTCTTGAGTGGTAACACTAGAAATATGAAGAATCGTGGGGCGCTGGCATTGTAAAATGCTTCTAATATACACTGTATATTAGAATATATATAATATAAAATATATATAATATTTTCTTATGATTTTGCTTTGGAATTTCTAAAATCTTTCACTTTATTGCTCCCTCCTGTGGAACATGTAACAATATTATTTGTCTGTTAGTACATTATAATGGCTAGACAGAATACATTATGTAACATAACTGCCAAATAACTAATTAATTTCAACAGAATTGCCACAACACACATACACCAAATCTACCCTCAATAATACAATATGCCAGAAATCAATAATACGAGTCTATCTGAGAAAGTATTATACAACAAATAATATGCTTGATACTGAGTAAGAAGGCTGTCATTTAATCTTCAGGGTTAAAGATCTCTAAACAATTTGAATTCTGCTTTTGACACTTATGATCCTCCCTTGATTCCTGGACTAAATACCTGGCTTGTTACTTACTCTTACCCATTTATTACCTGTATGAATTAATTGAACAAATGTACTGTCTTTTCTTTGGTGGCTCAGCAATTTTGATCCCTTTCCTCTTGGTGGAGTGGAAGTGTTTAAAGTCTTTATTGTAGGATGTGGAGAATTCTCATTGCCAGATCACAGGGCAACTCGTGGGTTGCACTAGTCATTTGGTTTGAGTGCATTAAACATTTGAATATTTTTATTAACTTGACAACTTTCAAATGCACATTTTTAGTCCTAGAGAATTAAACAATTTTAATTTTACAGAGGCCCCAAATAACTCTCAGTTTAGCCTTAAGACTAATGCCTTCAAATTTAAAGTTGTGCAAAATTTGGGAACATTCTTCAATTCATTATTAATTTGGAAACCAAATTTCTGTAGTTGTTTTATGAACTGCAGAAAACCAGCTTCCAAATTAAGACTGAATTATAAACGTTTTCCACAATTCTTCACAGATAGAGAAGGGGAAAGATGGAAGGGTAAAGGGAGGGAGTTACAGAGGTTAGGGGTATAGTAGCTGAAGACTCGGCCACTGATGGTGGAACGGAGAGTGTAAGCAGAGGAGTGGGATAGGAAAGTGTCACAAATATATGGTGGGGCTAGAGGGCGAAGGGTAACAATAACACAGTGAAACAAAAAGCAATAGGTGTCGTAGCATCAAAATTATGACAGCCTTGTGAAATCAGCCTATCATCTGATACACGTAAACTTCTGTTACAAGCCTGACTTCACTCCCTGAGCCAGTAGACTCAACCTGGCAACAGAATGTAAGTAGCTATGACCAGTTTCTTCCAAACCTCAGAGGCGTACCACATACATACATGGGTAGCAGTGATCGGAGTTTCACAAAAGCTCAGAGCTCTACTTCTCGTGCCTGGCACATTGCTTAATAATAATAATGATTCTTGCATTTGATATAGCGTCTTATCACATCTTCGAGATGTCTCAAAGCGCTTCACAAACTACGCTGTAAAGTGAATTGACTGTATATTTTGCAGGCAAAACGCAGAGGCCGATTGCACATAGAAGTGTTCCACAAACAATCATGGATTGAGTGAATAATTTAGTACTATTATTTTTTTTGAAGAAATTATTACCCCTGGAAAAGCGATCTGATAATCGACTAACAACTGGGCTCCTACTTACTGCTAGGTAAACAGAGAAGTGTGGAGTAAGGAAGCTTGCCCAACGTTTCACCCTGCCGGGAATCGAACCCAGGTCTCTTGCTTGCGAGGCGAGCTCTAACCACCGAGCTACAGGACTCCACAGTTCTTAATGTACCGCCCCGCCCCACAGATTACACCAGCATAATTTGTGACCTAGAGGTATCTAATGCACTAGATACAGAAGGTAGAAAAGTGTTTCCTTCCTCCAACAAATTTGTAGTTGCCTACACATACAGTCTTGTCAGTGATTATCTGTGAGATTTGTTGAGACTTCACAATGTGATAAAAATGTTATTAAAGTACTATAAAAAAAAGTTCTTTCAGTTATATACTCCACTCTGATGAACACAAAATTCAACTTCCTGAAATGAGATAACATGCATTAAATTCATATATAAGAATACCATAAATATTGAATCCTGAATATTTTACATTGGAATGAAGAGAACATATGGTGTCACTTTGGTTAGAACAGATTTAGTGCGATCCCAAGAAAGAAGTTGTGTTTTATGGTGTATTATCACATGAACAGATTTTGTAAAATCTTAGTCTTAACAGATTTTGTAAAACTCTACTTTAAAACCTACATCTGAAATTTTAGTTAAATATTATGTAGAATAACTGTAGTAGATTAGAAGTTCTACAGAGAGTTCCTGAATAATAAATACTTTATTTTAACGTGTTATCCAAAACACTGCATCATGGACAGCTCAGCACTCCCCTAAAAATACACTGGAGAATTAGCCTAAGAATGTAGGACTTGAGCACACAACCTTCTGATCCAGAGGTAAGAGTGCTACCAACTGAGCCAAGTTGTTACCGAGAGACATTGCTACAACCAAGTATACATGATAATGGCAACCTGCATATGTCAAATAGACAAAAAAACAAAATAGTATTATTGAATGTATCTAACATTGGTCAACAACACTTTGTGATGAATCGACCAGTCATTCACACAAAGAATAAAATGAACCTGTATTGCTCTATGTTGTGTCTCCTGAATATCTGTGAACTAACCTTATGCAAACGCTGAAAAGTGACCTCTGAAATGTTTTCATATAAACCTTGGCATCGCCAACATTTGCTGGGTTATTTTCCACAACAAACAAATAGACTTATAGCTGCACAAATGTAGTGTCCAGGTGACCACTGGCAACCTCGAAATCTGGCCAATAAAAATAGCTTAACATTGCCAAACATGAAACTTGTTGGTTACAGTGGTCGCTATGACAACACGGTTGGCTAGCAGAACTTTGGGCTTGGTTGCATGTTGAACAGTGCTTATTTTCTACTCCACAGGGACATACACTTAACCCCTTGGGAACAGAAATGCTTTATTTGTTCTAGGAAATAGCCTTTTCTGTTTTTGCCTGAAATTGATTTTCCAACTACAACAAATTGACATCGTAGAGAATAATTGCTAATTGAGAGCAGGAATTGAAAGGTAATTATTTGTCTTGTAGTCAAGTGAGATGCAGATTCATCAATCTCTACAGTCTATCTACAAAAGTTAAGTTTTCGCAAAATCCATATCCATTTAGTCCATCTGTTCACAGGCAGCTTCACCATACTTCTGAAACTACTTACACTATACACAAGGGAAATGTTAATAGCTTTGTACATCCCTTTACGACCATAAGGAGGCTCATGCTTTAATTGTTGAAACCACAAATATCAATGTTGGTTCCCACTTGGCCAGTGCAACTTAACTGTGTGGAGGCAGAGTCCATTCTGAACTTCAAGAGGAAAGTAGGCAGGTATAATAAAATTATAATATTAATAATAATCCTTGCATTTGGAATAGCGCATTACCACCTCAAAAGGACGTCTCAAAGCGCATCACAGAAATTACTGTGGAATAGAGCGACTGTGTATTTGTAGGCAAATGTGGCAGTACAATTGTGCACAGCAAGGTCCCACAAACAGCCATGAAGTGATTAACTATTGTTCTCCCTTCTCTTTTCGAATAGTGTCGTGGGATCTTTAACATATAACTGAATGACAGACGGGACCCTGGTTTTAATGTCTCATCTGAAAGATGGCACTTCTGACATTGCAACACCCCCCAGTGCTGCATTGGTGTGTCATCTTAGACTATATGAGTTCAAGTCCAAATGTGGGATTTGAACCCACAACCTTCAGAGATGACAGTGAGCCAAGGTGACACAAATATATCAAAGATAGAGGCTTGAAGGGATGTGGTGATAAGGCAGGGCAGTGAGATTGACTGAACAGTTTGCTTTGAGAGCCAGTGCTGACTCGAATGGCCTCCAAATGGCCTCCGTCCGCACTGTAAATTTCTACGGTTCTATGAGGCTGGATCAGATATTCATTGTCCGTACAATCTTTTCAAAAGAAGATTATAATCTACATTGTTATGGGCCTCATCGCGATAAAACATTTCAAAGTACTTTACAGTAATTGCTATCAACTGCCATGATGTTTTTTTAGGTAAGTAATGCACACAGCATGGAGGCAAATGGTCATACATCCCGATCAATGCATCAATGCAAGGAATTAGACTTGACTAATATTTGAATAACCTGAAGGCAACAGATAATTGTCCATTACTTTCCTTGGAGTGCCAATTTGGTTGGTGTAATCAGGAAATGGAACAGTTTTAATCTTGTATTATTGTTTAATGTGATATTGGAGTGCCCATATGCCTTGTGTAGTTTCACCTAAGGAAAATGTTAATACATTCAGTCATGTAACTCACAATTCAAAGCTACGACACTTTGTTTTATTGTTAAATATTTGCCTGCTCAACAATTTGTGGGTCATTTGAACCAAAATTTAGGCTGTAATTTTATAGGCACTCAAATGAGGACAATTGCGTGCTGCACTGACATTTAACCAGAACAGGATATATTTCAGATGATAAATAAGGCTGGAACTCAGGAGGATTGTGTAACATGGGGCAGTTTATTATTTTGGAGAGCTTCGTTTTGACGATCAGTTTTTTACACTTTTCCCAAAAATCATTCTATCTTTAAATAAAAGGCAAAATACTGCAGATGCTGGAAAGC